CCCTTGGAATTAGTACTTTGAGTCACATACCTGCACCAAGTATGCAAATTGTGAGTCCTGACTTTGCTTTTGTGCCTGTGGCTCAGACCAGAGAGTTGTTGCAGTCTATTTGTAATATGAATGGTTTCCTTTTTAAATCTCCCTTCTACCAGGACTTTCTTTGCAGAGGGCACCTGGTCTATTCTGGCTCAGAAGGGTTGGTCCGTTTCAGGGGATCCCAGTGCAGGAGATGTAAGCATTCAAATGAGGGCTTACGTTTACATAAAGGAGGGTAAAGCTGACCATGCGCTATAGGGCGTGTTTACACTTCAAATCGTGGCATTGGACATGCTCTTTTAAAGCACTCTGTAATGCCAATCAAAGCACCTGTCACTAAATAAAATGGTAAGCTTACAGCCGTGTTTACAAGTTGCATTTGCTTTGCTTAAAAAAATTATACCCTTTCTTGGCACTTCAAAGCATCTCCAGAGCCTCCATAGAAGTCTGACAAAGCTCGCTTAACCGCACATGCAGCTTTTGAAGGGCTTTTATTCAGCGTTAGCTGTGCTTTGTTTTGGAGGGATTGCAGGTATGCAATCTCCCAGGATGCGCTGGGAAACCAACAAGAAAGTTGGAAAGACTTCATCAGCAGTCACTTCCAGTTCTTTGTGTATAAATTTCATTTGTATATATTCTGAAAGTATATGGTGCACAAGTCACATCTGGTGTGCAGCAGGAATGTGAGTGGGATCTAGACCACAGTGAAGCAACTAGCAGATGGCACACATGATGTGCAACATGGGCATTTTATAGCGGAATTGGAGCTGCAGAGGATCAGCAGAGCTGGAGGACCAGAGCAGGAAAAAACTAGCAGTGTCACACGTGGTACGCAGTGTGGGAGCAATATAGTGGGACGTGAGTGGTAACCAGAGAGAGTGGTGCAGAAAACCAGAGGAATCAGCAGAGCTGGGGGTTACTACTGAATGAGGAATCAGCAGAGACGGGGAGTTACGACTGAGCGGGGGATCAGCAGAGCTGGGGCTTACGACTGAGCGGGGGGATCAGCAGAGTTGGGGGTTACTACTGACCGGGAGATCAGCAATGCTGGGGGTTACTACTGAGCAGGGAATCAGCGGAGCTGGGGCTTACAACTGAGCGGGGGATCAGCAGAGCTGGGGCTTACGACTGAGCGGGGGATCAGCAGAGCTGGGGCTTACGACTGAGCGGGGGATCAGCAGAGCTGGGGCTTACGACTGAGCGGGGGATCAGCAGAGCTGGGGCTTACGACTGAGCGGGGGATCAGCAGAGCTGGGGCTTACGACTGAGCGGGGGATCAGCAGAGCTGGGGCTTACGACTGAGCGGGGGATCAGCAGAGCTGGGGCTTACGACTGAGCGGGGGATCAGCAGAGCGGGGGATCAGCAGAGCTGGGGCAGAGCTGGGGCTTACGACTGAGCGGGGGATCAGCAGAGTTGGGGGTTACTACTGACCAAGGATCAGCAGAGTTGGGGTTACTACTGACCGGGAGATCAGCAATGCTGGGGGTTACTACTGAGCGGGGAATCGCAGAGCTGGGGGTTACAACTGAGCGGGGGATCAGCAGAGCTGGGGGTTACAACTGAGCGGGGGATCAGAAGAGCTGGGGGTTACAACTGAGCTGGGGATCCTCAAAACTGGGGTATTAGCAGGGGTTTTGCTGAACAAGGGTACTAATAAGCTGGGGATCTGCTCAATTTAGGTACTAGTGTGCTGGGGATTTGCTGAACAAGGGTACTAATGATCTGGGAATCTGCTGAGTGAAGGTACCACTAAACTTGGGTTCTACTGAGCCCCTTTAAAACAAATAGAATATCAACACATATACAGGGCATTTTCCAAGCTTTATTAAATCTTTAAAAAAAGCATCAAAAAAGCATGTTGAAGCGGTAGGCGCTTTAATGTGTGTTAAAGTTGAAGCAAGTGTAAATGAGCCCTAAGAGTTCTCATTCATGTCAGTTGCTGTCAGATGAGCTTACTGCTTTCTTCGTGGCAGGGCTTTGCAATGCTCATCTAACTGCCTGATGGCCCAGAGCATCTGAGACCTTCCTTGGACCAGGACTGTGCCTTTTTTAAGCTTCACCCACCTGCAAAACGCCACAGAAGGGACATGTAGTTTGAACCTGCATTTGCTAGGAACTCCAGTTGGTACGTTGTCCCGATGTTCACATGTGGTGGTCTTTTTTTTACTCTTCTTTACTGTCTTGTAGGATAGGATTTACCCTCATGTCATTCCGGCTAAGATGCTGCAAATGCCCACAATTTCCCCATGCACTTTGATTTTGAAGTCCATCTCTTAATGGGATAAAAATAGAGGTCTGTGTGAATATGATTTTACATTGGAAAGCCACAATTTGGCTGAATCCTTGTAGTGGAAAAGGAAACAGCCGCTTTCAGCTGATGGAATGAATGGAATTTTTGTATTATCATTTCTGCTGAATTTCACAACCATTTTTTTTCCTTCCTGGCATGGCTGAGGGAGTCTGTGGCGTGTGGAAACTTAAAGCAATTTGCATAATATGTGAAGGTGGATAGGATTCCTTAGGCCCTAATTATAGTGTTGTACTGGCAGAGATTATAATTGTGCCTCTGTTCTCTTTTACTGCAAAACCGTCAGAGTTATCAGAGGATTCCAAGATCTGATGAATTCAGTATACTTTTGTAGTGGTTCATTTAGTATTGGGCACTAGGTAGTTGACTAGATTAGGGTCAAGGGTAAGATTTTCCTTTTGGTAGGTATGCCAAAGGGCAGCTGCAGGGTACAGGAATGAGAAGACAGTGAGGGCCATTCTGAGAGCAGCAGCTACTGGTATGGAATATATAAGCTAGACAAATCTAACTATGCAAAAAAAAATATTGGGAATTCATTTTAAATCACCTCCTGCCCAGCATATTATTATAATATGACCAGGCAAGTGCACCAATATCCTGGGTGGACGTTATATTACATCCTCCAGAAGCATGCCCTAGGGGCCACGCAGCGGTGTGGTCTGTCACCTGCTGTGTCTGCTGGCCACAGTGGTAGACAGATTATTGTACTGGACTGGCCCTTGTACCATGTGATTACTGTGACCAATCACAGCAATAGCACATCAGCTATATACAATGTCTTTCATTCATAGCCATTCATTGTGTACTATTGTGATCTCTGTGATTGGTCACAATGATCACATGGTACAGGGGCCACTCAGCGGATGTATAACATATGTTAGCTGTGAGCAATCACAACTATCACAGTTGTATGGATGCCATTAATAAATGATTGCTTATTATCACTGTAAGCCCTGATTCACACCAGTGAAACGTGTCATGTGACCTAACCATTCAAAGTCTCATGACAAGTCGCATGCCATTTGCGACAACGGAAACATTCAAATTGGTGTGACTTTCAAAGTTTCTGTGAATTTGAAAAATGTTCCTGCACTATTTCTGTGTGATTTAATTGTGACTTGCTTTGACATTTGTTAAATGAAGTCGCACAGAATGTCAGCAAGCCGCAATGAAATCACAATGAGTAGTCAGCTTTGAAGTCGCTCTGAGTAGTGCAACTTCAAAGCAGCAATGGTGTGAACGAGGGCTGATAAGCAATTCGTGTTAAGAAAAAATCCTGCTTACCTCCCCAGTAGTGCAGTGTCACCACAGTGATGGGAACGGCCGTGTAAAAGGGCCATAGTATACACACCTAACTTTGAATTGGTATCTGCCTTTTGTAGTCCCTGTAGTGAAGAATCCAGACTGGGGTCAGGGGAAGCAGAACAAGGAGCCAATAAGATTTTGCTGCTTCTCCTTTCACTGTCTAGTCACAGGATAGGGGTGGGGAAGACGCATGTATGTGTTGTGGAACTACAGCAAGAAAAATCAGCTTTCTTTGGCGGTTTGTCTGGAGTTCAGCTTATGGTTACCTTGCCAATTTCAAAAGACAGGGACATTTAGGGGGTCTGTGTAATATTGACACCTTTTTGTACCAAAAAACTGAGAACTAACAGTACAACCTGCCCACTCCATAGATTTTTTTTTTTTTTTTTTTTTTTCTATCGATGCATAGTTCCAAGTTCTCAGTAGTGATCCTATCCTGTTTATGCGATGATTTGGACTGTTGCTATGCCATTCCCTATTTATCAGTATGACCGATAATAATTTCACCTGAAGTTCATGTTTCATTTTCCACTTTTCCTGGAAGCATTAATCAGTTAGTAGACACTAAATACTTCTGTAACTAGACTATGGTAATGGGATGGGACGGAAAAACCGGTTTGACTTAAGACAATCCTTAGTTTGAAGTGGAGAAAAAGACATTCTCACATTGAATTCTTGTGTTTAGATATTTGCCTGAATATGTCTCAATATGAAGATGTTCCTACCCATCTGTGCTAAGAAGAAAGCTGCACTCAGAAATGATTCAAGCTGTGTATTATGTATTGCGGAACTCCTTTTTTTTGGAAATGCTAGTTGCTTGGCCATTGCCTGATCCATTACAGATAAAAATGGTAAGGTCAATGGTTGGGTAGGGGGAAAATTGAAATGTTAAGGTCAGTCTGACAGTTGGTGATAAGTTAGAGGTCAGATATATTTTGACAGGAACAACACAGAGAAAATGCCAGGTGATGCTACTTTATAATCCAGACCTGAAGATGTTATTGTTACTAAACCCAGGACCCTACATCCACTATATCTGGTCTCCCAAAGTACAAACAACATAGAAATGCAATTATAAATTGCTAAATACCTTTTCTCAACAGTATATAAACAGTCTTGTGACTTCTATCAGTGTCCAGCAGAGCACTGGTTAAAGCTTGTAGGAGTTTTCATACTCCCTGATTGTCTTATGAAGCTGAATAACCCCTGACCTCTGGTCTGGACAGAGCTGATTGGCCCTGTGCCTATCACATGTACTCTACCAATAAAGAAAAAAACTCTACTTCTGTGCACTGTACACTTCAGCGTGTGTTGACCCTGTTTTGTCATTTTATGTGGCCTACCACATAATGGCTGAGTTACTGTTGCTCCCACTTGCTTCCACTTTGTTATAATAACACTAACAGTTGACTGTGGAATATTTAGTAGCAAGGAAATTAGACGGATGGACTTATTGCACAGGTGGCAACCTATCACAGTACCACGCTTGAATTCACTGAGCTCCTGAGAGCGACCCATTCTTTCACAAATGTTTGTAGAAGCAGTCTGCATGCCTAGGGGCTGGATTTTATACACCTGTGGCCATGGAGGTGATTGGAACACCTGAATCCAATACCTTTGGAAATTATAATGTATGTGCAAATGGTTTGCAATTAAGTTCAAATAGATCATCAACCTCTGTGTAAGTCACATTGCAGCAAAGACCAATGATGCCGGTTTAGCACTTGGATGGATGTTTATTTCGTTGGCAAGAGTACTTGGTCAGCGCTTAGTCGCGTTTGGAGTTATTTGGCCAAAACGTTCCTCTCCTGAATGCAATGCTTCTGCTTTCAGGAGGGGGGAATTTAACTGCCCCTAAACGCTGCTGCTGCTGCTAAACTCCTGATTAAAGCTCATGTGTGCATGGACACATAGACCATTAGATGAGTTGAGTTCAGGGACTTTGACAAAAGAACACCAAAAGCTCCTAAACTCATGTTTAAGAGCAGCAGTGTGCCAAAGTGTTAGCTGCAGTTTGGCATCAATTTTGCTTTATATATCCAAATCTGCTAATAAATGTAACACTCCAAGCCTCCTCAACTGACAATGCTGCTGTCTGCTGCTGTGCCTCCTGTGCTCACTCCTCCAGAGTGGTGTCTTACTAATATAGGAGGTATTACTTGCCAGATCACCAGGTGAAAACAAAGGGTATAGATGATGTTTTTTAAAATACAGGATTTATATAGTTCCAACAATTCATGTAGCACATTACAAAACAAGAGGAGGTTATAAAACAATGCAAGACAAAAGGTTTAGGAGGGCCCTGAGAGCTTACAGTCTAGAAGGGAACTGGAGGATTCATCCTGGATAGTCCTGGAGCCTAAAAGAATGAAGGGCCTCTGTGGTGAGTCTCTATTCCGGTAAAATCAAAAAGTCTGTTTGCTTAACATTTTCTAGAAGGTAATCTCAGCTATACATTAGAGAGGAAGCTGGGTGAAAAAAAAATCTTTTCAGCGTTCAAGGCTGGGTGTGTCTGATGACTGTAACAAGGTCTCCTGAGACCTGCCACCAATTAACCTCTCCACTGAATACACAACCAAGGCTAGACTCCGCTCTCTGGCCTTATTTATAGAGGTAAAGAATGGCAGGGAAAGGGTCTATGGAAAAATTCTTAATATGGATTACAATCTGGACATTCGTTCATTAGGAAAGTGCTGGCTACACTTGGTTTGTTTGTTAGTTTTGGAGGTCTCTACAGTATACCATCTTTTCAATTTATTGTAATAAATATCACCTATTTATTGTATAAAATGTCACCTATAGGTGACATACACTGATCAGCCACAACTTTATGACGACTGACCTGTTAGGTGAATAATATTTATTAGCTCATTACAATTGCATCTGAAAGTCGGTTAGGTATGTTAGGCACAAAGTAAACATGTCCCCGAAGATGTGCTGTAAACAGAAAAGTAATGCACGTTGCAGTTTGTGTATGGGGCTGTGTTACCGCAGAGCAGTCAGGATGCCCTTGCTGACCCGTGTCCACAACCAAAAGCTCCTACAATGGGCACATGAGCATCAGAACTGGACTAGGGAGCAATAGAAAAAGATGGCCTGGTGTGCTGAGTCACATTTCTTGTGTTGGTGGCCGGGATGCCACCAGGATGCACTATGGGAAGAAGGCAAGCTAGCGAAGGCAGTGTGATGCTTTGGGCAATGTTCTTCTGGGAAACCTTGGGTCCTGCCATTCCTGTAGTTGTTACTTGACTTGTACCACCTACCTAAACATTGTTGCTGGCGGAGTACACCCCTTCATGGAACAGTATTTCCTGATGGCAGTGGCCTCCTTCAGACAAATAATCTGCCACACTGCAAAAAATGGTTCAAGAATGGTTTAAGGAACACGAGTTTGAGGTGTTGACTTGGTCTCCAAATTCTTCAGACCTCAATCGAGGTCTGAATCGAGGTTCAATCGAGCATCTGTTGGATGTGCTGAAAAAAAACAAGTCTGATCCATAGAGTCCCACCTCGCAACTTATGGGACTTAAAGGATCTTCTACTGATGGCTTGGTTCCAGATACCATAGCATACCTTCAGAGGCTAGTGGAGTCCATGCCTAGTAGGGTCATTGTTCTGTTTGGCAACAAAACTCAATGTTAGGTGACAGAGGGTGTGAGAATCTCAACCATAGGCTGATTGTTTGTTTGTAATCTTTTGGACAAGGTCCTGACTGGGGCAGCTACAGATGGACAGGTATGGTAGCATCGGGGCTCACGAACACTGCAGTGTGCACTCAATGATCAAAGGGTAGCTGATACTCGCTGAGCATTTTTATTGGATGTTGTATACCTCTTCTGTAGTGAAGGAGGTGTTTAGTAGTATTATAGAGGATTTTTATAGTGCTAACAGTTTGCACAGCACAATACAACATAGAGAGATTACAATACAATTCAAAACAAGAGGGTTGGGAGAGCCCTGCTATTCAAAATCTACAATCTAAAAGGAAAAAGCTATTTTTTAGTTAGAGTCAAGATAGGCTTTCCTGAAGAAATTAGTTTTCAGGGCTTACCTAAAGGCAGAGAGAATATAGGGCCAGACAAATTGGTGTAGGGAGTTCCAGAGGATGGGAGAGGCCCTGGAGAAGTCCAGGAGGCGAGCATGAAAGGAGGTGAAAAAGGAACAAGAGAACAGGAGGTCTTCAGAAGGGTGAGGATGGTTTGGGTGATATTTTGAGAAGAGGTTAGTGTTGTAGCTGAGTATCACCTGAGGCGTGTCACTTGTCTAATGTAAGGGTTTAAATATGTAGGGGGGGGGGGGTATAGGGATGCATAAGAGCATACATACAGTATCTCACAGAAGTGAATACACCCCTCACATTCTTGTAAATACTTTATTATATCTTTTCATGTGACAACACTGTAGAAATTACACTTTGCTACAATGTAAATTAGTGAGTGTACAGCTTGGACTGAAAATGTCCAAATTGGGCCCAGTTAGCCATTTTCCCTCCCCGGTGTCATGTGACTCGTTAGTGTTACAAGGTCTCAGGTGTGAATGGGGAGCAGGTGTGTTAAATTTGGTGTTATCCCTCTCACTCTTACTAGTCACTGGAAGTTCAACATGGCACCTCTTGGCAAAGAACTCTCTGAGGATCTGAAAAAAAAAAAAGAGTTGTTGCTCTACATAAAAATGGCCTAGGCTATAAGAAGATTGCCAAGACCCTGAAACTGAGATGCAGCATGGTGGCCAAGACCAAACGGCGGTTTGACAGGACAGGTTCCACACATGCTCTGCGTCATATCCAGAGGTTGTTTTTGGGAAATAGACATATGAGTGCTGTCAGTCAGCCTGTCAGTGCTCAGACCATACGCCGTACACGGCATCAAATTGGTCTGCATGGCTGTTGTCCCAGAAGGAAGCCTCTTCTAAAGATGATGCACAAAATCCCACAAACCGTTTGCTGAAGACAAGCAGTCTAAGGACATGGATTACTGGAACCATGTCCTGCGGTCTGAAAAGACCAAGATAAACTTACTTGGTTCAGATGGTGTCAAGTATGTGTGGCTGCAACCAGGTGAGGAGAACAAAGACAAGTGTGTCTTGTCTACAGTCAAGCATGGTGGTAGGAATGTCATGGTCTGGGGCTGCATGAGTGCTGCCGGCACTGGGGAGCTACAGTTCATTGAGGGAACCATGAATGCCAACATGTACTGTGACATACTGAAGCAGAGCATGATCCCCTCCCTTCGGAGACTGGGCCGCAGGGCAGTATTCCAACATAACGACCCCAAACACACCTCCAAGATGACCACTGCCTTGCTAAAGAAGCTGAGCGTAAAGGTGGTGGACTGGCCAAGCATGTCTCCAGACCTAAACCCTATTGAGTATCTGTGGGGCATCCTCAAATGGAAGGTGGAGGAGCGCAAGGTCTCCCAACATCCACCAGCTCCGTGATGTCGTCATGGAGGAGTGGAAGAGGACACCAGTGGCAACCTGTGAAGCTCTGGTGAACTCCATGCCCAAGAGGGTTAAGGCAGTGCTGGAAAATAATGGTGGCCACACAAAATATTTACACTTTGGGCCCAATTTGGACATTTTCACTTAGGGTGTACTCCCTTTTGTTGCCAGCGTTTTAGACATTAATGGCTGTGTGTTGTTATTTTGAGGGGACAGCAAATTTACACTGTTATACAAGCTGTACACTCACTACTCTACATTGTAGCAAAGTGTCATTTCTTCAGTGTTGTCACATGAAAAGACAGAAGAAAATATTTACAAAAATGTGAGGGGTGTACTCACTTCTGATAGATACTGTAGGGGTATTTCAGAGCATAACATAAGGATGTTGGTACTAAGGAACAGTGAAAGCATACATGAGAAGAGATCGGTTTGAAAGATGAATATATACATGGGTAGTAATGGGGGAGGATGAGGAGTGTGTGGTAGGAAAGGTATGGGGAAAGGATTAGAATGATTAGTTCTATTCATTTCCCATATATTTGTACATATCAGAGTGTGCATGACATGATTTTATAGTCACATTACTATCATGCACTTCATTCATTGCATTACACACATTCCTAATGTGACCACTTACATTGGTTTTGTAGCAGACTGGCTCAATTGCATCATTTATAGAGACTGTAATATATTAATTTGTCATGGTTTTTTGCATATGCAATCCAGTAAATATAAACCCAGTAATAAACAGTTCCAAATAAATAAATGTAGGAAATGCTGATGTCCCCAAAGGAAGATAAAACGTATCAAAGCAGCTGCCCATTTGTGACACCATAGAACTTTGTACTGCTGATATTATAGATGCAGGGAGTCTGCCTGAACCTGCTGTGTTGTCGCCCTCTTGTGGCAATCATTCACTGCAGTCTGCATACCGATATCTGTACACAAGAAAGGCTGACTTATAAATAAAAAAGAAAAAGTAGAAATTAAAACATAACTCCACTTTTGTTGAGAAAAAAACATTCCCCTCTGGGTAATGTACATTGCAGGGATTTTAAAAATCTTGCAGATTCCTACCTTTTTGTTCTGAAGAAATAACTGCTTGTCTGTGTCCTTGTTCAGAGTGAATCTGTATGCAAGTGGATTTATAATTATCAGTC